AGTCAAGGATTCCCACCAGGAAGCCTGGTTCCTACACCTTAATCCTAAACTGTCACACAAAATTGCCCTTGGGCCTACGTGTTAGTGCTCTTGGCAAAGCCACTTGCCTTCTGAGCACAGTCAGAGGAGCCTTCTCAGTCTTAAGAGTCTCAAGCTCCATAATCAGCCCTATCCCTCTCCGGTTTTGAGGTGCTTCTGTTGATGTACCTCCTTCAAGTAAGCCCCAGGGGCCTACGGTTTGGAGCTGTCTTTCCCCATATGACTGGAGAGAATTTAACTCTGAGACTAACCCCTTTGAACCGTGAGGGGCTGAGACAAGACCACTGCTAGTCACGCAGTGCCCTTTGTACACAGGAGGAAAAACACCCCTTGGGGGGGGGATACTTTTTTATAAAGGTACCTCCTCTGAGTTAAAGAATTACAAAAGGTGCCCCTTCTGGGCTGAGGTAGCACCACCTCAATCCACCCAAATACAGGACTTATGAGTTTTCTTAAAATTGATCACTCGTCTCACAGTTTTCTCCTATTATAAGTGTCGGGTTCTTTTCGACTCCAAAGTTGTTTACTTTAAAATTACTTTCTCGTCTTCCAACATTCCGTTTGGAGTATTTGGCTTAGAGATAAAGAAATTCTTTACAACTGACAGATCAACAGCGCAGCTTGAAGGATTTAACGATACTGTGCACACAGGAATATCAACAAGTCCATCATCGGTTTACTGCCAGGAATGTAGTAGAGTGGATAACATTTCCGGTAGAGAGATAAATGTCTATGTCATGTTTTCTTTCTGTTCCATGAGGAAAGTAGAAGATTGTTCAGAACGTCAACGGAAGATACAGTGTATTTGGTCTCAGCTTGAGGAAGTGGTGCACTGGCTTTAGGTTTTTTGTCTTTGCGGAAGAGGGGGTGGAGCAGGTGCGGGGAGCTGCTGGCGGATAGGTGGGTGGGGACATCCTGCTCTCAAAGGGACTCAACTGTCCGTTGCCCTGCAGAGCTCTGCACTCTCCCCAGGCTTCTCCTCCCACTCATCGCTCCTGTTCCTGGTCTGGCAGGCGCGGTTCAGCTCTCCAGCCGGGACTTGAATGGAGAAGAAAGTGGCAACTTCTCCGTAGCTCAGGCCAGCGCCTCCCTTGCCCCACGGGCGGGGTTCCTTGGGGCTCCCCAGGCGCTGCAAGGATTTTCCCAGGCCCTGAACCATTCTCCTGCCCTGAGCTCAGGACCTGGTCCCACCTCCGCTGGACCACTGTCTGGAAGTGGGAGCGAGACTGGTTGCATGTGGGCCAGGGAGGCAGCTGGCCAGACACAGGGGAAGGAGAAGGGGGTGTGTGTGTGGAGGAGGCGAGAGGTGGTAGCTCTGGATTGCGACTAATGGAGGTCACTGGTGACCTTGACAGGAGCAGTTTTGGTCAACTGGTAGGAAGAAAAAACACTGCAATTTCCCTATATGGGTTCAGGAGAGAATGGGAGGAGAGTTAACTGAAGAGGGGGATTATACACATCTCTTTTGAAAAGATGTGCTGTGAAAGGAGCACTGAAATAGCTGATAATTATACTCATTACAGTGCAATAGTGATTACAGCTGTTTATCTTTAACCCAAAGGAATCCTGAACTTTCCTAGGCAGTGCTTTATGTTAACTTATTTAGGAGTTAAATCAGTTAGCTTGAAACCATTGATTGTTTTATTCCTGCCAGAGAGCCAAATTCTTAGGGAATAGGGAATAGGGCATAAAACAAATGAGTTTGGATGGAATGGCTAATGATGGAGAAAAATCTGCTAAGCGCAATGTTGTTGAAAAGGGTGACCTGGCAGAGGACAACAGAGGCAGGACTGGAGCGTCAGAGTTTCAAATTGGGTACTAGAAACTGAATAAACTGAAGGAACAGTGTTGAAGAGGAATAGAAAAACACAACATTCTTTGCAATTTTGCTCAAGACACTCCATGCTGACAATCTTCTCATTATCTTATTTGCGTTTTGCCACGAGAGGTCTCTAGAGCTCAACTTTGTCCGTCAGCGATGAAACCTTGTGACAAAACATGCTAATAGTTTTCAAAGAAAGATGAAATACAGCTGAAAAGCAGAACGATCTCCAAAGAAAAACATATGCAATAGTCATGATCCAGGATCCAAATGAACTGGTGAGGACTTAATCATGGCTGAAAATATTCATAGTTTTAATATTTAATTATTAGCAAAGAAATTTTCTTTGCAATCATATTTTTATGTTATTCCTTTCTGTGACTTAAAAAAATAATAATCCATTGTAAGAAGGGTATTTTGAGTCTCTCATTGAGGGATTACCTACTTGTTACGGTTTTTGGCTCCTGGGAAATGAAACAGCTTCCTCCACTCCAAGTGTTTACACTGGAGGGTGAGCATGAGTTTATCTGAGGAGGTAAAAAGCCTGAGATGAATTTGAAGTAAGAGTTAACTAGAAAACATAATTTGACAGTGGCTTGAGGGTGTGGAGGAAGTTGAGGGGGCTTTCCGAGAAGTGGAAGCTGTGTTTTTGTCTCATCGCTCACAGGCCTGGTACTGAGTAGCTACTGTTTTTAAAATGAAATAAAACTGGAAAGGGAGTTTGGAAGTAGTTTTTCAGGAGGAAGTCAAGTAGCTTCCAAATAATCTCCTTTTCCAAATAACTTTCCCCCATATTCCTCTGACACAGCATTTTCTGTCTTTCTATCTCACAGCTCTTTCCTTGGAACAGTCTTCTTTCCCTTCTTTTTCCAGGAAATCCAATATATCCTGAAGGTTTTTAACTCCATAGATCTATTAGATAGAGGTGTCATAAACTATTATCTCCTAGGCATTATAGGGGTCAATTAGCAGAAAGAGTAAATGATTTTTGCCTTTCAAAAAGACTGTCAGAAAATTGCTCAAAATTGCTGATCAATTTTTTTGCTCAATTGCTCAAAATAAAAAAATCCTAAGAATTTAATTTTGCCTCTTTTTTTCAAATTAGGAGAGGTTTTTTGTTGTTATTTCTCAAATAAGGTATGACCTACTCTTCACACAAAGCTTTTATCTATATCTCCTTAGCCCTATGACAAAGCGCTGGAACTTAGCCAAGTAATATTTAGTTTCACTCCATGACATCCTTGAAGCAGGACTCAATACCATCCCACCATAATAAATCCATTCATTTCAAACCATTAGCAGGATGTATATGTGTTACTTCATGTTAATAGAGAAACTTAAAGGAGATGTTCACAGTGCATAGGATATTCCATTTCTCTTGAAATCTCCTCCATATGTCATTTCTTACTTCTTTAAAGCAGAGTGTTAGCTCACCCCCACCCCCAGGTGTTGCTCTGGGTAAAATCAGAACACTTGGGGCCGGCTCCATGGCTGAGTGGTTAAGTTCGCGCGCTCTGCTGCCGCGGCCCAGGGTTCTGATCCTGGGCGCAGACATGGCACCGCTCATCAGGCCATGTTGAGGCAGTGTCCCACATGCCACAACTAAAAGGACCTGCAACTAAGATATACAGCTGTGTACAGGGGGGTTTGGGGAGATAAAGCCCCCAAAAAAGAAAAGAAGATTGGCAACAGTTGTTAGCTCAGGTGCCAATCTTTAAAAAAAAAAAATCAGAACACTTTTAAGGCATATGGTTGCTGAACATGTGGCTTGCCCAACAGCAAGCCCTGAGTTCAAAGTGTCAGTGTGACCACTGTAACTCTTCATCTTTCTTCACCGGTGTGTGTATTGTCTCCACACTTTATTCCACTCTTCTCAACCTGCTGCCTTAAACGGGGCATATGGAACAAAATGAAGCTTGTGTTAATGACCCACTTTGAACATGGAGTTTTAAACAATATTGGAATATAATGAAAACATCAAGAAAAATGGAGATACATACTGCTACACAGCTCCAAACTAAGGGACTCAAAGTGACAAGCTTTTTGTTAAATATGTCTTCTTTGTATTATTTGTTTTTTCTCCCAGCTGTCTTCCCTTGCTGCTTGGTCTCATGTTCCTCTCTAGACATGTGTTCATCCCTTACTTCTAATCTACTATTTATAGTTTGTGAGCTAGCCAAATAAGGAAACCCATTAGAATTGTGCATCATGTAGCTACATAACTAAGTTTGAATCAGGGTCTGAATGGGGCACTCTTCTGAATAGTACTTATCAGCTTTATTTTGTTTGCTTTTTGGGTTTTTTTGAGGAAGATTAGCCCTGAGCTAACTGCTGCCAATCCTCCTCTTTTTGCTGAGGAAGACTGGCCCTGAGCCAACACCTGTGCCCATCCTCCTCCACTTTATATGCGGGATGCCTACCACAGCATGGCATGCCAAGCAGTGCCATGTCCACACCTGGGATCCGAACTGGTGAACCCCAGGCCGCCAAAGCAGAACGTGAGAACCTAACTGCTGCGCCACGGGACCAGCCCCCATTATTAGCTTTATTTTGAGCACCTTGTTTCAGCACACTTTTTATATTTTGCAAAATAACAAATCTTGGGTTCTATGCTGATGACCCTATATTTTAGTATCTCAAGCAAAACAGAGATCTTATGAAGTAGGAATATCACTAATATTATGTTCATTTTAGAGCTGAGGAAACTGAGCCTCAGAGAGATTCTGGGAATAATTCAAGATCTTGTAATCAGTTCATTTTGGAATTTTTCATTAAAGTCATTTCTTCAGATTCTCAACTCCATGTTCATTTCAGACTGCCTGGTGAATGTTATTCATTCTCTGTTCTGAACAATAGGATTCAATATTATTGAACTTGGGATTTTTTTATTGTAAAAATTTGGTTTTATTGTAATTAAATCATTTTTAGGCTTTCTCAATTCTTTAAAATTATATGTTGAGAGAAAACCTATAAACTATAATAAAAGTCAAAGTCTATATATGAAATACTTAACATGTATTTAGATAGTTTTTTTAAAAAGCTTAAAGTTTTTAAGAAAACTTTAAACTTAAAGAAAAGCTGAGTAGATCATTTATTTTTTCCAGATGGCTTCAAAAAACCTCCATCAAATACCTGTTTCCAAATGGTCCAGGCAAGGAAGCAGAAGGAGTAGACATGGAAGGAATCTTGTCTTGTGGTTCTTCCTGTTTCCTCTCCTTCTTATATATTTTTATTATGTACATATACATCAGTTAAGACTTTCCCTCCTCATCTGGGTATATGTGTCAGGTTTAGAGCAAATCCACTTCCTCTCCGTGTAGCGCCTAGCACTGCTGGCACCTTTGTCATTCAGATAGGCACACTCCCCTCCTCCTGTGATAGGAGAGCTGTAATAGAAGAAGGAGAATCAATCAGTTGGCTTCTGGACATTTCTTCAAAAGCAGAGAGAATAAAGACGAGAAAATAAGGAAGCTAACATTAATTCAGCCTCTAAATATAAGATGGATTACACATATCATCTCTTTAACATTAAAAATTACCCTGTGAGATATGTATTATTATCCCTTTTTACAGCTAGAGGAACTGAATTCCCCAAGATCCTATAACAAGTAAAACTAAGATTCATACCTAGATCAATGAAACAACAGGGCCTAGGCTATTTTCATCTTCTTCACTTTGGGAAAGAGAAGAGTGGAAAAATGCTGCTTGTTACAGGTAATTTTTTTTTTTTCTAAAGATTGGCACCAGAGGTAACAACTGTTGCCAATCTTTTTTTTTTTTTTTCCTGCTTTATCTCCCCAAATCCCCCCCGGTACACAGTTGTATATCTTAGTTGCAGGCCCTTCTAGTTGTGGTATGTGGGACGCCACCTCAATGTGGCCTGACGAGCAGTGCCATGTCCACGCCCAGGATCCAAACCAGCGAAGCCCTGGGCTGCCGCAGCAGAGCGCGCGAACTTAACCACTCAGCCATGGGGTCAGCCCCACAGGTAATTTTTATTGTTGTTCTTAGGCCCTGATTTTCTCCTGCCTTATGTAGTGATCAGTAACCAGTCAATGGGCTTTGATTAGCTGGATATACAATAAACCAGCAATATACTATACAGTAAATCAAACATATTTTGTATCTCTAAGCATAGTGTTATTTCAACTGCATCCAAAGCCTGATTTGCTGGTAGAAGAGGTCTGACACCTGTTTTCTCTCCACGATTTCAGCAGTATTCTGCTGTCTTAAACAACTGAAGATCTCAGCAGTGTAAATGGCCTGACACAGAAATTTGGGCCAGCATTCAGATTATAAATTTCTCCTCTTTACTTGATGAAACTGCTATAGTCTGACGTGACTTGCTAATTGTTGAAACATCCTAGGCCTTAATAAATATAATATTTTTCATTTCTATAGTGATGAACAGTTTTCAACAACTTGAGAGTTAACAATATATTTGATCCTTAAAACTCTTTGAGAATTAGACAGAGTAAATATTGCTATTTCAGTGTTGTAAAGAAAGAAATAAAGGTTAATTCCAAATATTTATCAAGTATGCACAATGTGCTAAACACTGCAGATACAACAATGTGTAAACACAAAAGTTCTCGTTGATTACTTATACTTACCATCTGTACAAGGTCAAAAAGCTAACGAGTAAGAACTAGTTTTCAAACCTGCCAATGTCCAGTCCAGTGCCCTTTTCACCAAATAAATTTATATTTCCAGTGTTGACTACTTTATCATCATAAAGCAACTTTTCAAAACCTCCTCATCTCAGACAAGCAGATGTTTAGTGAAATTGTCTGAATCCAAACTTCCCAACATTATTCAAAATCTTTTCAGTAATATAAAGGTCTTATGCATATACAATTGAGATTAAATTCAACAATGTCAAACTTTACCTGTCCTACACATTATAACTATGATCTTATTATAAATAAGTATTATTACCATCACTCATAATCCCCCTGTAAATGGCTGAAGATTGATGCAATGGTAGTTGTATTAGTAATTATATTTGCACTTGTATATTTTACAGTTTGAAAAGTACAGTCATATACAACAAAACCTCTTATCCTCACATCAACTCTGTGAGATCAACAAGTGCTGCTGATTTTGTTGTAGAGGTAAGAAACAGACATCAAGATGTTGTATGGCATGCTCAAAGTGGGAGAGTTGGTAAATGACATAGACGAGGCTGGAATCAAGTTCACAGTCATTCTACCTCACCGTGCCACCTGTGATAGGCTTTGGACTGATTCAAGGAGCAACCTGTGCAACATACAAGTTGACACTATCTTTCTTTATGACTAAACCTAAAATAATTTTTACAGCCTATAACTGAAGAACACTAGGTTTCAAGCAAAGTAAATTCAAACACAAATATTGCTGCCATATTTTTAAAACCTTACCATCGGATCCATTCACTGCCATTTATCCATTTCCAAGATTGGCCTTGTTCTCTGCTCAACCCTATCCAGTGGTCAGAGGGGCCTTTATACCTCAGTAGAAAACCCTTTCAGAAGACACAGAGATGATATTCATTATTCCACCATTACTCAGCCTCTCCCAGAAGAAATCTGGCATCTATGCTATATTCTTAACTGTTCTTGTAATTTTCTTCTTTTTAATTTTGTATTATGTAATGTTAATAGAGGATAGGTATGCTTTATTATCATACATACATAAAGAAGATTAAAACTGAGTGAAATAGTTGATAACTTGTTGCTTTTATTTCAGCATAATACCCCTTTGTATTATTATTCCACAATTTGTTTATCTATTCTACTATTTATTGACCCTAGGGTTATTTCAAGTTTGAGATTATTAGGAATGTTATTATGACATTCTTGGCACCTGTCCTGGAATAGAATTACAGTTGGCCCTCCATATCCACGAGTCCCACATCCACAGATTCAACCAGTTGAAGATTGAAAGGCCTAAGGTGGTTGTATCTGTACTGGACATGTACAGACATCTTTTTCTGGCTATTATCCCCTATAACATACAGTATAATAACTATTTACATAGAATTTACATTGAATTAGTTATTATAAGTAATCTAGAGATGATTTAAAGTATATGAGAGGATGTGCAGAAATTGTATGCAAATACTACTCCATTTTATATAGGGGACTCTAGCATGCGTGAGAGGTCCTAGAAGAAATCCCTCATGGATACTGAGAGACAACTGTATTAGGCTACAGCGCATGCTTATTGTCAGCTTTACCAAATGATACCAAACGGTTCTCTAATTTAATCGTACCACATTATAGTTATAGCAGCAGTGTAGACCAGTTTCCTTTGCCACACATCCTTGTCAACACTTATAGTGTCTTTTTATGATTACAGGTATTAATTTTAATGTAATTAAATGTATAATTTTCCTTTATGATTCGTGGATTTACTAACTTCTTAGGGAAAATCTTTACTCTTTTGAAGGCATAAAGATGACCTTTCTTTTTGCTTTTCTTGTTTTAGTTCCTTGAGGTATACAGTTAGGCTATTGATTTGAGATATCTCTTCTTTTTTAAGCTCTGCATTTACAGCTATAAGTTTGCCCCTTATTACTACTTTCACTGCATACCATAAGTTTTGATATGGTATGCTTTCATTTCATTTGTCTCAAGGATTTTCTTTCCCCTTGGGATTTTTTTTTCCGATCATTGGATGTTTAGTAGTGGGCTGTTTAATTTCTAAACATTTGTGTATTTTTCAGTTTTCCTTCTGTTATTGATTTCTGTTTTTATTCCATTATGATTGCAGAAGGAATTCAGTATGACTTCAATCTTTTCAAATTTATTGACTTGTTTTGTGGCTTATCATATGATCTATCCTGGAGAATGTTCCATGTGCACTTGAGAAGAACATATATTCTCCTGTTCTTGGGTGTAGTGTTCTGCATATGTCTGTTAGGTCTAAGGGGTTTATAGTGCTGTTCAACACCTCTGTTTTCTTATTATTGCGCTATCCATTATTGAAAGTAAAGTATTGAAGTCTCCAACTATTGTTGTAGAACTCTCTATTTTTTATTTCAATTATGTCAAAGGTTTCTTCATCTATTTGGGGGCTGTATTATTAGGTAAACATATGTTTATAATTGTTAGATCTTCCTGCTATATCAAAACTTTTTTTTAAGGAAGATTAGCCCTGAGCTAACATCTGCCACCAATCCTCCTCTTTTTGCTAAGGAACATTAGCCCTGAGCCAACATCTGTGCCCATCTTCCTCTATTTTATATGTGGGACACCTGCCACAGCATGGCTTGACAAGCGGTGTGTAGGTCAGCAGCTAGGATCTGAACTGGCAAACCCCAGGCCACTGAAGCAGAATGTGAAAACTTAAGCGCTGGGCCACCAGGCTGGCCCCTCAAAAATTTATTGAGATATAATGTCCTTCTTTGTCTCTTGTAAACTTTTTTGCTTTAGTCTACAAGTTTGACAAAAATATAGCCACCCAGCTCTCTTTTTATTACTTAGCATGGAATATCTTTTTCCATCATTTTACTTTCAACTTCCCTGTGTCCTTATATCAATGGTGAGTCTCTTGTAGAGATCTTATAGATGGATCTTGTTCTTTTAAATCAATCTTCCAGTCTTTGCGTTTTAATAAGATAGTTGAATACATTTACATTTAATGTGATTATTAACAAAGAAAGACTTACTTCTGCCATTTATCTTCTTCTTTTCTATATATTGTATGTTTTTTATTCTTCAATTCCTCTATTACTGTATTCTTTTGTATTTAGTTGATTTTTTATCCATTTTGATTTCCTTCTTTTTTTGATTCTTTGATTTCCTTCTTTCCTTTTATATATACTTTTTAGTAATCTTATTAGTGGTTACCTTGGGAATTGCAATTAACATCTTAAATGATTTAGTTTATAATACAAGCTTTGTTTCAATAGTGTACAAACATTTTGCCCCTATGCATTTCCAACCCTATCTCTTTGTGTTATTGTCATAGATTACATATTTATGCATTGTATGCCCATTCATATAGATTTAGAATTATTGTTTTATGATGTTACGTGTTAAATTATACATGAAAAGAAAGAAGTTAAAAACTAAAGTAAAAGTACAGTGATTCTGGCTTTTATATTTGTCTATGTGGTTACCTTTACGAGTGTTTTTTGTTCTTTTGGCTCCAAGTTACCATCTAATGTGCTTTAATTTTAGCCTTTATAATTTCTTGTAGGATAAATCTACTAATAAGAAACTCCTTCAGTTGCTGTCTATCTAGAAATGTTTTAATTTCTCTTTCATTCTGAAGAATAGTTTTGCCAAATACAGAATTCTTGATTGATAGTTTTTTTCTTTCAGGACTTTAAATATGCCATCCCACTGCTCTCTGGCTTCCATGGTATCTCAGGATAAGTCAGGTGTTAATGTTGTTAAGAATCACAAGTACATGACCAATTGCTTCTCTCTTGCTGCTTTCAAACTTCCCTGTGGGTCTCAACAAGTTGACTCTGATTTGTCTTAATGTGGTTCTCTTTGAGTTTATACTGATCGGAGTTTGTTTGAGCCTCTTGGACGTTTATATTCATCTCTTTCCTCAAATTTGGGAAGTTCTCAGCCACTGTTTCTTTAAATATTTTTTCTTCTCCTTTGTCTCTTTTTTTTCTGGGATCCCTATAATGTGTGTGTTAGTCTGCTTGATGGTGTACTACAGTTCCTTCAAGATCTGTTCATTTATCTTCTTTCTTTTTCCTTTCTTATCCTCAGATTGGATACTTTCAATTGTCTTATCTTCAAGTCTCATGATCCTTTCTTCTTCTTGTTCAAATATGCTGTTGACCCTTCTAGTGAATTTTCCATTTGAGTTACTGTACTTTTCAGCTCCAGAATTTCTATTTGGTTCTCTTTTATAATTTCTACCTCTTTATTGATATTTTCATTTTATTTCTATGCTATTTTACTTATTTCTTTTATATTTATGTCTATGGTTTTCTTTAACTCCTTGAACATATTTAAGACAGTAGACTTAACATCTTTGACTAATAACTCCAACGTCTAGGCTCCCTGAGGGATGGATTCTGTCAGACATTTTTTCCTGTGGATGGGCTATACCTTCCTGTTCCTTTGTATTGTTTTGTTATTTTTTGTTGAGAACTGGACATTATGAGTATTTTGTTGAGGTAACTCTTGGAATCTAATTCTCCTGCTTTTCAAGGTTTGTTGAATTTTGATTATTGAGGTGTGGAGCCATTTATTTGTGACTTTTCCAAACTATTTTTGCATAATGTGTATTCCCTGTATTCTGTGGTCCCTGAAATTTCTGTTCTGTAATCTCCATGATCAGCCAGTTATCTGCCAAAGATTTTCTTAAATGCCTGACTCCCAAAAGGAGAAAAAATGCATGCACTGTTTCTTTAACTTTCATGAAAGCTGCTTCATTTGCTGGGGGTTGAAAAAGATGGCAGCCCACCTCCATGCCTGCCACTCAGCAATGAAAAGTAGCAATTAAAATAACAATACATAACCCCAATATTTGGAGAACACGAATTTTTTGCCCACCCTGGCTCCAGCAAGCTACATCAAGAACATGAAAGTAGTCCTCATAGCTCCCTGTCACAATAGGGTGTGGGGAATTGTAGCCACTACTGAGTGGAAAGCCCAAAATTCATTGAGATTAGCTAAACTTACTGACATCTTCATCAAGCACTCCTTTGGATGATGCAAATATTCAACTAGACTCCAGAGTTTCAAAGTAATTACTTTAAAGAGTTTCTTCCAGTTGAATACTTGTTTAGGGGCGGTACAGATTTCAGGAGCTTCTTATTCCAACAACTTCTCAGACATCACTTCTACTTGTTTTATTTCAAAGCGATGTTATTAACTCAACATGTTATTATAAAAATTTTAAATTATGTTTCCACTTTTAATTTTCTAAACTTTATTTTCACAACTCTTGCTGATAACTCAAAGAAGGCACTGGCTATCTTCCTGCTATGAATGTTAAGGTAACAATAGAGGGTCCACTGCAGAATGTAGTACCTGCAGGGTTCCCCCCTCTTTATACTGAAAAATCAATGTCTAGGCAGGTGTCTAAACCTGTATCTTAGACACTCTCACATGGAATGACATAGTGTCTTCATAGGGCCAAATTTTTTATTCTAGCAAGAACTATTTTCTTACCAATTCCTGGAGAGTTTCAACCTGAACAAGATCAGCACCTTGTAAGTCACAAAACCTCTGACTGAAAGTCCAATTCTTTGTGTCATCAGAGAAATGGAAACAATTTCTTTGGAAACCAATCCAGTTTTCTGGGCAATCAGCTTAAGACATTCAGATGGCTTTTCATGGAATGTACTTCTAGATACTGAAAATAAAAACAACTTACTTTTATATTTTCCTTTATATATTACCAAATACTTTCTAATACATTTCCCAGTAGTCTTGTGAAATACTAACTGTGTTATCCTCATTTTTCAAATGAAGAGTACGATGATGAAAGTTGTTGTGTACATGACATAGCAAATGGCAAAGCTGAGATTGTATCTAATGCTTTAAGTAATAGATGAGCTGAAGAAGGAGTTAGTAATGCCTTAAACTCTGAGTCAAGTACCTTTCTTCTTGGATTTCAGCAATGCTACATTTCTTTAAAGAGTCAGATACATCAATAGCAACATTTAATCAGCCTTAGAGAACAGATAGTTTTCCAAGTGCTCTAGATACTTCTACTGAGGAGCTTCCTTCAACTAAACAAATTTTGTGAGACTTTCTGTATTTTGAAGCCAACAATACTCAATTGGTCAGGCTTTTCTGATTCACTTCCCATATAACCAGGAGAGATGCTCTCTTCAAGTGGGATTGAGAGCTAGGAAAGTCTCTCCAGATGGTTTTTACTGAGCTGCTAGCACCTAACTGTTCAGCTTCTATGACCCACGAGGGCTATCCCTGAAAGCAGACTGCCTTCCTCCAAATCTGTGCATACCTATTATGCTATCACTGCTTCTATATCAACCAATTTAAAGACGAGGGTCAGATTAGAAGATAACTGCAGCTATTGACTCCTCATGAGGAATCTTTTCCAGTTAAAGTGCTGGTTGAAAGGAAAAGAAACACAGTATGGGTAATGAAGGAAGGCAGTCATAAGTATCTATTAAGTCCTTATGATCATTCAAAGAATGAGGGCTATAGATTTAAAATGTGTTTCAAAAAACATTTTCTTGATTAATACTGAGATATTCACAACAGAAAAAATGCCTCCTTCCAGTTTGTCCTTTTCTCCTTTATTAAATAGGTACTGTTGATTTAAATTTCTACAACCTTAAGTACTTATTTTTGCTTCATCAATGTATAATATATTTTATTTTTGCTTACAGAATGACAAGAATAGACCATCCTCTGTGAATTCATAAAAATATTACAAGAGAAATGAGAACAGACCATCCTCTGTGAATTCATAAAAATATTACAAGAGAAATGAGGATCACCTAGAACATGGACTATTTCAAGTATTGCTGACTCTAAGATTTGTAAGCAGTATTTGAAGGCTCAGTTATGATATTGCCTGTGGATGTAGTAACAGGGTTAGTTTTGAAGCCGGGTTGGGGTAGAATTAAGAGAAACGTCCTTATAGTTTTCTATGTCTTAGTTTGGTTTATTTTGGATTCAGTGCAAGCATGTTTCAAACTATAAGGGCATCTTCATAGCTAAGCTGGTTCCAGGATATGTGATCCAAGAAAGAAGTTTTTGTCAAGGAAAACTGGCTGTATCTGCCAAATAAAAAAACAAGGGCTGGAACACGCTGGAGTATCTAGAAGAGAAGACCATAATGCACCTGTGCCTGCACTGTTATACAGTGCATAGATTAGTAGCATAGATTCTCTCTCTTTCCCTCTCTCCTGCAATCACCCAACCATCTGGTCTGTTCTTATTCATGCAATATGTGTGTTTTGGAAGTAAAATTAAATTTTTGTCCTTAGCTATGACAGATGAGACAAGAGACTGCAGTATATACCAGAGGACAAACATATTGATAAATGATATTTGTTTTACAAGGTTCAGTTTAGGTAGAGAAAGTGATGAATAACCACTCTGCTCAAGGTTTCTTCCCAGGGATCATCCTGAGTAAATATCATGCTGAGAAATCTTTAAACCAAAGGTGACCATGATAGGTTAATTTTTACCCCTTCTATCTTTTCTGTATCTGTAACCTTATAACATTTCCATTAAGGATGATAATTGTGGTAGTGATGTTGATTATGGTAATAAAAACAGCAGCAAACAGTTTTTGAAGGCTTTATTTTTATCAGGAGTGATCTAATCAGTACATATGCATCAAGATATTTAATCTTAATAGCATTTTACTGCACTAAAATTGCAATTATTTATTCCATTACCTTTCCACTATAAAGCTAAGGGTAAGATTTGTGTCTCTCGTCCGCTAATGGCCTTTTTCAACCTAGATACTGAAAAGCAGATTCTTTTCAACTAAAAGACACTATATAATCTCTTATTGACACCATAAGGCAGAGTCACAGATTTCAAAACTTATGGTATGACATAATAAGGGCAAAAGTCACAGGTAAAGGTAGGCACTATTAGAAAGTTGTTTACATGTCACATCATGCTGAGTGGTTTGTACCATTGGTCCCAAAATAAGTTTTCAGTCAAAATAATACAAGAAATTAAGAACTAAAATAAATAAATAGTGTAGTTTACACAGGATTGGAAAATGTGCCTGTTAGATATCAACCATAATTATGTTGTAAAACATACAGAAGAAAACCAAAGCAGAAACTGATAAGAATTATCTTTTAAACGTATTATTAGATTCCCAGCAGGGGTCTATGTACTCTATTTATATTAGCTTATTTATCCTCATAACAACTCTATAAGGTGGATTTATCATGCCCATTTTATATAGGAAGAAATTAAGAACAGGAGGTGAAGTAATTTTCCCAAATTTGCACAGCAGACACTTGCAGATTTGGGATTTGAACCCAGATAGTTTGGTGGTGTAATGTATATGTGTCTAACCATTTGACTACTATCCCTTTCTAACTTTTAGAAGGAAAAGTCTCTATCCAAAATTTTAGTATGGACAGTATGGTTAGAGAAGTTGGAAAATGAATCTTAGATATTTAAAATTGTATTCAAAAGGGTAAAATATTAAAAATTTTTCAATCAGTGATAATTTATTGAATACTTACTCTGTACCAGGTAAATGGGCTAAGGGCTAAGGATACAGAAACAATAATATTTTTCCCTGAAGTTGCTAACAGCAAACATAAAAAACACAGACACAACAAATAATTACACAGATGCTATAAGAATTCAAAGGATAAAACCAGTATTAATTAATATACTATTCCTGAAAGATAAAAACACTTTATAAATTTGTGTGAAAATATATTTGCTGCAAAGGAGAATAAATTCTGGGTAATTCAAAACAATGGGTCAGAATTTTGTCTATGCCATATATGAAATACATGACTTTGGGACAGTTATCTAACCATTTCTGATTCTCGTCAAATTTTGCTACATTATGGATTCATGTGATTTTAGAAAACTTTGACATTTTTAGAAATATGCTCATAACTGTAACATCATATTTTAAATAAAAATAATTTGCGTTTTCTGATGAACAGTGATATTCACTATATACTTACTATGTTCCAAACGTTGCCTGAGTTTATGCAAATTCATTTAATCATTACAACAACTTTGAGTAAACTGAAGAATGGGAAAGTTATTAGAGTTGTCCAAAGTGAGAAACCCTCACAAGTAAAAGAGCTGGAATTCAAGCCCAAGCAGACTAAATCCAGAATCAACACTCAAATCTGTGCTCTTAAACTCTATACTCTGACTAATTTATAATTTGGCTGACAACTTGGTAACCCAAGAGAAATTTAATAAACAATGAACAAGTATGTATTTAAATGTGGTGAGGAGAAGAAAGGGCATAAAAATATAGGAAGAAATTAGCATATATTTCAATAAGTTAGCACCTGTGTTTGACTTAAATCATGGATTTTGTTTTAAATTACTCAAGGTTACATTTCTCTGTAACATTCTGCTAATACCAAGACTTATCAAGGAGTCTGACTTAGTGTAATCTATCACTGTCTCCTGGGACGTGTAAGTTTGTCTAGGCTATACCTCAACAGCAGACCTTTTCCTGATAAAACTATATATTAATCCAAGATTTTTTTTATTACAGCAATTCTTGCATATTTCTTGTAGTAAAAAAGGAGAAACAGTTGCAGGGAGTGTGCACTTGAATATCTTCCTCAAAAGCACCCCCCTGGGATTGGAAGGCAGCAAAATGGTGGACAAGGAAACTCCAAGCTCTCATTTCTCTAGAAAAACATTTTATAAAAAACAAACAGGGGCCAGCCCTGTGGTGTAGTGGTTAAGTTTGGCATGCTCCATTTCAGCAGCCCAGGTTCATGGGTTCAGATCTGGGGAGTGGACCTGCACCACTTATCAGCCATGATAAAGTGGCAACCCACATACAAAATAGAGGAAGATTGGCACAGATGTTAGCTCAGGCCTGATCTTCCTCAAGGCAAAAAAAAAAAAAAGAGGAAGATTGGCAACAGATGTTAGCTCAAGGCAAATCTTCCTCAGCAAAACAAACAAACAAACAAAAACACCCCAAGAAATTAGCTGAACTAATCTTATAAGACCTTTGGAAAATAGTCAAAGGTTTGCAAAAACCAAGCAAACATTCAATCAAGAAAGAGTCATCTTCAAATGGTAGGAGAACTTTGTAGTGTTTTTACTCACTCTGACTAGATGCAGCAGCAGACTCGTTATGAAGAAGGAGGCAAACCAGTTCTCTGTTCCTTCTTTCAAAATAGAGAGAGCAGAGCAGACCTTTTTGCAATGTTCTAACCAGTCTGGGGGTGGGGGCCTGAAGGCCTGATCTCTGTTTTGCCTAACCTGGGTATTAGACAGAAAAAGCAGCAGGCAATGTTTGTGAAAGCTTCAAGGGAATTACAGACCTGCAAATGCCTGGGACCAGTGATAACAGGTGGACAAAGACAATAGACCATCTGAGATGCTGAGAAGAAACTAGATGGAGACCCTTTAGAAAATTAAGACTCAAAAGCATCTATGCATATAGGGGAACTTAGAAAGCTACATATAGGCTCAGGAAAGACACATAATCAGAAAATACCTGAAAAGACCTTAAACCTTCACTTCAGTTTGATTCCTAGGCTTAGAGAAAACCAAGATAAATGATGAAGGACTACCACTCTGCAAAGCCTGGGAGAGGGAGGTGATGCTTTTTTCAAATGCCCAATTTTCAACAAAAAGTTACAGGGTATGCAAATAAACAGGCATTTATAGCCCATTCAAAAGTAAAAAAAAAATTGACAGAAACTGCCCAAGAGGAAACCTAGACATCTCACTTACCAGATGAAGAATTTAAATCAACTATCTTAAATATGCTAAAAGAGCTAAGTGAAAACATGGACAAAGACTAAAAGAAATTAGGAAAAAGATACATGAACAAAATGAAAATATCAAAAAAGATAGAAATTATAAAAAGGAATCAAACAAATTCTAGAGATGAAAAGTATAGTAACTATAATGAAAATCAATAACCTTACTTTACACCTTAAGGAACTAGTGAAA